GGTGAGTGACTACAAAGTCTGCTCCTCGGTCACAAGAATAATCTTGTGACATAAGGTTTTGTTCAAACATAGAACCGAAAGTTATCCTTTCAGTTGTCGTTCGTGTAATTTTTTCATCCCACTAATGAATATCTTTTGAATAGGGCAACTTGCCCTATTTTCACTTCAAAAAATATATATTATGCCTCCATTCAAATAGGGTTTTTTTTTTTTTTTTGGAAAGTCAATTTTTGTTGCAAATAACCCAAACCATTTCCCTCGGTAAAAAAATGACACCAAACAACCCAAATGATCTTTAGATCTTAGATTCTAGATTTTAGATTTGACATCACGATCGATACTAACGATGATTCCAATACAAAATTGAAGAGAGAGCTATTATATATATGCCTATAACATCTTGTTTCATGTGACACTTACATCAAACTAGTGAAGAACATACTAATAACTATCAATATCTAACAAATACATATTACGAGAGCTGGAAGAACAAAAGATGACGTTGGGGTGGACAGCAGGACAGGTTTGCCTTGTCGTTTCTTGCAGAGGGTTTTGAGGGGATCGATGATGGGCCGGCCAGCTTGTGTTGGATGAGATCTCATACGTTAAAGATCCAGCGCATGTGTTGAGCTTGGTTGTTGTCAACTGCCTACCCATAGTGTCCTTCTTCACGCGTCTCATCAAGTTGCTACATGATGACACTGCTGAAAGTCCTGTTCATGTCAAGGTGGGTAGGGGCCGCGCACGCACGTACTCCTTTCACGTGTTGTCCACTGCCCACGTTACCACTGAGAATTAGAAGAGAAATAAATACGTAGATCAGTTTTACGTCAAAAAATATGTAGATCAGTATACAATGCCCTGTGTCAATATTGTGTTTGTTAGCGACTTTATCCCCGAACAAATTTTAAAGTGAATGGGTTCAATTTTGGGCCAGAAAAAATCTTGAGCTGGTTTAAGCCAAAAATTGATCTAACAAGACCAGCTTAAACTAAAGCAGTTTAAGTTGGAATTTTCAAACAACACTAGTAGAAAAACGACCAACCTAGACGGAAATTTCCGTCTAGGTTGGTCTACAATCCGTCTAGGTTGGATCATCTAGACGGAAAACCGTCTAGGTAGAATGGTTTATTCTGTTTCCGTCTAGTTTGGATCAAACTAGACGGATTTCCGTCTAGATTGATCAATCTAGACAGAAACCAACCTAGACGGAAGTTACATTTCCGTCTAGGTTGTTAACCTAGACGGAAATCCGTCTAAGTTAACAACCTAGACGGAAAACCGTCTAGGTTAACAACCTAGACGGAAAACCGTCTAGGTTATCAACCTAGACGGAAATCCCAACCTAGACGGAAGTCCGTCTAGGTTGATTATTACAACCTAGACGGAATTTCCGTCTAGTTTGGTTCATACTAGACGGAATTCCGTCTAGATTGCTCTTTTTCCAGAAAAAAAAATATATTACAATTTGTATTTCCCTGTACAATTACACCAATACATGAATACATACAATAAATACTGTATATATGAATACATCCAACCATCCAAATATAATCAAGATTTTAGACAATTCCATTCAAACCCAAAAATATACAAATCCAACATAATGCACAGATCCAGCCATAATAAACAAATCCAACACGCATATAAGTATTGTTATAACATCCAACACGCATATAAGTATTGTTATAACATCCAACACGCATATAAGTATTGTTATAACATCCAACACGCATATAAGTATTGTTATAACAGATAAAGCTGTTCATTGCATTAAAAATCCACAAAAAATCTCATAAACCTCATCGGTCGTCGTCGTCGGCAGTATCTCTATCCTGGTTACGAGAACGTGTGCTGCTCCCTCCAATATCTCCACTCTGAATGGTCAATTGAATAATCATTAAGGGGTGTTTAATACATATTAAATATAAATGAATTTATTATTTTAAGAAAAAAATAAGGTACCTGAGTGCTGCTCTGACCAGCACCGGAATTATCGCCAAGCGAGCTTATAATCCGTATAACACCACCATACGCGCCATGAGGAATCACACCGCTTAAATATTGCATGACATACCCCAGGAGATCATCCATCGAGTTCGCCGTCAGCGCAACTCTTGTCATCTCATTAGTCACCTGGATATGTAGCTCCGAGTCAATCTTGTCAAGCAAATATGCAGAGATACGTGCGACAAATGGCATAGCCTGGAACCGAGGCGGGGCTGCTCTCATGGATGTAAATGGTGTGGAGGATGCTGTGGATGACCTCATGCTTACGCCGGGTGAAGCTCCAACACCATGCAGAGGATATCTCCCTCTCCTATGTTTAGGGAGAAATAAATATTAAATTTACCTCTCGAATTCAATAATGATAAAAAAATATAAATAGGAATGTAGTATTCAAATTGATTCAAATTTTCTACATCCATACCTATTATGACCCATCAAATGCTGTGTGAGAGTAATGTTGTCCTCTGCAGAAAGCATGTGAGGGTCCGGCTCAGATTGTTCCTCCTGCTGCGACATATACACAGTTGCAGCCTCCTTGGATGCAGCCTCAAATCCCTCCTAAAGCACAAATATATAATTAATTCATGGTAAAGACAATGTTATTTGTGTTCTCATTTCCTCATAATATTAACAACAAAATAGAATTAATAATACTACACAAGATATGTATAACTCTCACCACCAACTCGAGATTTGCCTTGATCTTATCTCGATTCTTCTCATCACCCCTATATCTATCACGGAAAATGCCATACGCCGCTTTCGCCCTCAAGTGTATTGGCATTAATGATTTTCCCTGTCATATTATATATTATCACACTCATAATCATACTAATCATTAAATTCATCAAAACTTTAGACGGAAATCTACCGTATCCTGACAATAAACATCCTCCAGATTGGCATAGGAGTGTGAGCCCAAGTGGTGGTCATGCAGCTTCTTTCTTCTATTTTCTGACCCCTTCGTGGATTTATTCTTTTTTAAAAGAAAAAAATTAGCAAATATGCAATAAATTAATATCTTAAAAGTATAAAGTAATTTTCATGAAACTAACCTTGGAGGCATCGCTGTCCCAATACATGAGGAGAGCTGTGAAATGAACCTCGTCAACTCGGGCGTCGAGGTTTAAAAACCTCTGCCAGTCCTCCTCATACCTGTCATAGGTTTCATGTTTGATCTCATGCCTCCATTGTTTGAGAACTACTTCAACCTTAACATTGAACACATAATTCCAAGCCCCCTCAAAGTCCTCAAGGCAGAAGCAGTCCTGTAGATTTACATACACATTTAGGAAAGATAATTTAATATCAAATACTAATTATTAATAAATAAAAAGTAATAGCAATATGTAGTTACCATAAGCGCTGTCCATATCGCCTCGTATGCGCTCCATGGTAGTTCTCGAAATTGAAAATAAGGGTTGATAATGGTCGCTCTACGCACTAGAACCCCAATATATGCATTCAAGCGGGTCGACCATGGACCAACGGGCAAATTAGAACTATTCCACCGAATTATTGCCCTCATTCCTCTTGGCGGTTGTTTGGAATCAGGCTTACCTCCGCCACGTCTGTTCTCGATACGATCCTTCTTAGCACCTACAATAATAACATGATAATATATCATATAATATACAAATGTGAAAATTAAAAGTATTTATACAATTTACCATTCGCTATCTCTCTTTCCTTTGCTGCGAGTGCAACCTTCTTTCGTGTCTCAATCATTTCACGCATTTCTTCTAATTTTCTCGCAGCACGTGTATGGTACTTCCTTGCGTCAGCCATAGACTTATGAGAGGCTGGAGGTAAAGGTAAACTAAGATAGTCCTGTGTCTTTGGCCGCAAGTCCGTGTGGAATGTATAAGATGGATATGTCGGTGTCCAAGTATCCCCTACATAAGAAAGGAGAATCATTAATATAGTTTTTAATTAACCATTATAATTGAGCATTATAATATTGAATACCTGCATCAGGGGATGGTTCTGGTACTGCATCAGAGGGGCCAGGTGATGAATAACCCGCATCTGCAACAAATTAATCACTATTAGCTAGATAATTAATAATTGATAAAATATATTAAAGTATTAATTAATTTTTATACCTGCATCCGGAGATGGTAGTGTATCATCAGCACCACTACCAGGGGTGATACTACGTGATCGATCACCCTCGAGGTCAAAGAGTCTCCTCATCCTCCTCATCTGCAATTTCAATTATTAACATAGTTAAGAAAAAAAATATACATGCTCATGAGATAAGTTATTATGAAATGCATTGTTCTTATTATGATTAGCTAAAAAACTTTAATGCAGTGTAACATATATATTACATACCTACATCCAACGCCACATTCTGTGCGTAAGAGAATTCTTGCCAAACATCATCAGATGAACCAATTGGTTCACTATAATTATATTCACTTTCTTCAATATTTTTTTCATTGTTATTAGGTAGAACAACAGATCTTGGCTCCTTGTACAAAACCACCCAATCAGATATGACATTCGGATCTCTCACGAAGAAGCACTGATCAGCTTGTTCTGCAAAAATGAATTTCTCATCCGTATATACTTCTCGATGGAGATTGACAAGTGTAAATCCATAATGATCCTTTTGCTTTTTTGCAGGACACCACCGAACCTTGAACATCGTGTAAGTACATTGTTTTGGTTTACCAAACCCGTAAATTACTTCAACAATATCTTCTAATTGGCCATAATATAGTATGTCAGCTAGAATTGGGTTCTGATCTCTTGTACTTGAAAAACATTCTTGAGCAAACAAGCCCATGACCCCACTGTTCTGAGTTACCCTCCTATCATCAGTCTCTAGCGTTCGAAATTTATATCCATTGATCAAATGCTCATTATAACGTCTCACTTCATAATAAGGGCGTTGTGCATGTATAATAATTTCATCTGGTAACGTAGTACCATCAAGAAGTGATTTATCAACCTAAGACAAAAAATTTCAGAATATTTAGGGGATGTTATATTATGAATGTTCATAAATTAATTGTTAAATACTTACATCAAATCTTAACCAATCAGAAAATTCTTTCCTATGTCTTTTCTGAATATTATGCGCTGCATTCCTACCGGTTGTTTCATTCTTAAGCTTCTCCAAATGTCGCCTACATAAACAATATATAAGTTTGCATTGCGAACATTATGTAAAATGAATAGTCTCATCTATATTTCGGGTGTTATTTGTTACCTTCGATAGTCTGCGAACATATCAAGGTTTTCCAGCACATATGCATGAATTTGTTCTAAGAGAGATCTCGGATATTTTTCACGCTTTCTCTCCTTATCTGGTACTTGAGCCGTGGTTTTCTTCTGGCGCATGTAACGTGATGCAAAAATAAAGCATTCATTTGCCACGTATCCTTCAGCTATCGAGCCTTCTGGACGAGCTCGATTGCGAACATTATGTTTCATGGAGCCCAAGTATCTTAGAATCAAAATAACTAATTATTAGCACGGTAATTTCAAAAACGCATATACAAGTAATGAATGCAAAAAAAAATATAATTTACCTCTCAATCGGATACATCCAACGATAAGTAACAGGTCCGGCGATTCTAGCCTCTCTTGCAAGATGCTGGGTAAGATGGACCATAACCGTAAAAAAAGAAGGAGGGAATATTACTTCCATATTGCATAGAGTAACTCGGACCTCAGCTTCAAGTTTTTTAAATTCATCTACATCTATGACTTTAGAGCATAATTTTCTGAAAAACCCACAATACTCAATAATAATCTTCGACGCTTCTTTATCCATATTGTTACGGATTGCAACAGGAAGCAATTGATGGAGAAGAACGTGATAATCATGGGTCTTCAGACCTAAGAGTTTTCGCTCTTGCACTTGGACATTATTTGAAATGTTAGCAGAGTAACCATCCGGAGACTTTACTGATTTGAGAATTTCACAAAATCGTTGCATCTGCTCATTTGTCAGTGTAACACGAGACGGAGGCAACTTTAATTTTTTAAGTCCAACATCTTGAGCTTGCAAATCATTTCGGATATTCAAAGCAGTCAGATCTTGGCGCGCCCGTAGATCATCCTTCGACTTGTTTGCATCTTGTAGGAGAGTTGATACTATGTTATCACATATATTTTTCTCAATATGCATGACATCTAAGTTGTGGCGGATTTTAAGATTTTGCCAATAAGGTAGCTGAAAGAAGATACTAAATTTAGTCCATCCTCTAGGTAATTTTTGGTCTTCTTCCTCAACTTGCATTTTCCGGACCTTTCGCTTACGCTTCAGTGGCCTTTTTGACTTTAAATAATCTCTTACTCTGAGCGGGCTAAATTTAGAATAGCGTTTTTTCCCAAACACAACTTTTGGAAACCCCTCAAGTAATTGAACGATCTCAGTACCTGTGAGTTGACGCGGCTTCATTCTTTTCTCAACTGTGCCATCAAACTTAGCTGATAATTTTCTGTACTTATGACTCAAGGGCAACCACCTTCGATTAAACCAATAACAACTCTTTCGGCTATGTGGTAATTGAAGAGCTTCAAATTCCGGACCACATACAGGACAAGCACACTTTCCCTTTGTGGAATACCCAGACAGATTAGCATAGGCTGGAAAATCATTAATCGTCCATAATAGAATAGCACGTAATCTAAACGATTCTTTTAAATGGGCATCATATGTTACAATACCCTCAGACCATAGTTGTTTCAGCTCATCAATTAGAGGCTCTAAGTAAACATCAATATCATTTCCAGGTGCATGTTTACCGGGTATCAGTAATGAAAGTATCATAAATGGCTGTTTCATACAAAGCAATGGAGGTAAATTATATGGCATTAGTACAACTGGCCAAGTAGACCAACCAGAGCTCATTACCCCAAATGGATTGAATCCGTCACTTGACAGACCCAGTCTTACATTGGCTGAAGTGGGTTTAATTTGCCCTAGGCAACCTAGACGGAAATTCCGTCTAGGTTGCCTTAACCTAGACGGAATTTCCGTCTAGGTTGACTAGTCAACCTAGACGGAAATTCCGTCTAGGTTGACCTTTAACCTAGACGGAAAGTTCCGTCTAGGTTGAGGCAACCTAGACGGAATTTCCGTCTAGGTTTATCTTTCCGTCTAGATTAACAAACTAGACGGAAATTTCCGTCTAGTTTGTTTCAACCTAGACGGAACAAACTAGACGGAATTAATTCCGTCTAGTTTGACCCAAACTAGACGGAAAAAAATTCCGTCTAGTTTGTTCCGTCTAGGTTGCTAGTTTTTCTACTAGTGCAAGCATAAACTCCATCTTGATCCTATTCGTCAGCTTAGCAACTTATATAAAAACTAACCCGATTTACTTATAGACTAGCTACATCAAGTCTAGATTAAGATAAGCTAGTTTCTATGTGAGTTAGTTTTGAGTAAAACTTCAGTTTAGCTAATTTTAAAAAAAAAGGTAGTCTAGTCCTAGTTGGCATCATTGTTTTCCATTTCCCAATATTTTGTTAGGGATTTTATAAAGATCAATCTGCGGAATTAAACATTAAATGAAAAACGACACCAATAAAAATACCACAAGCAAGTAAACACCAAAATTTAATGTGGTTCGACCAATCGTGCCTATGTCCACGGGGCAATCCAGAGAAAAATATTTCACTATGAATCAAGAGTACAATTCCTTTAAGTTCCACCTGAACTTGAGAATTAAATCACAAGAGAAAGACACGGTATTACCTCTAGGGCACTAAAATCCTAAAACCCGTCTCACCAAAACTCTCCAACACCTACGGAGAAACCAACACTGTACTCTTGACAGCGTCATCGTTCTAAAGACAATAACTTTTGAATCACTACAATCGGACAACCGAGCTATTCATAATCTCACTTTCTCTTTCTCTCTCTTCTTCTCTTTCTCCCCACTTTTTCTCTCTCGGGTTATTGTTCACAGTTTATTGTAGCACCGAAAAAAATTACCAGTTTCTCATGAATAGAATTCCTTTATAAAGGAATTTTATTTTCAGGTCCTTGAAACCTATTCCTATTACAACTAGATCCTTCAAATCCTCTTCTAGCTAGAATTTTAATTCATGTAGGCCTTATCTTGGGCTGGACCCACAACAATCTCCCCCTCCAGCCCAACGAGCAGGTATGTCAATCTGTAACTCCTCAACGGGAGTTTATACCGGCCAATCGACCAATCGACCAATCGAGGTTTGTTGTTTGTGCATGTTTGTGCACGTCGCCGCCCGGTCGACCGATGAGATATCAGTCGACTGACCTGGTGCTGTATTGTAAATGTTGATCTTCCACGTATATTTGATCGCAAGCACAAAGTGTGAGTAGAACATCGATACACGTGCGTGACCATTAGAGTGCACGTATTGGGTTGAGCACGCATGAGCTTTTGATGTGTGTAGACTAATGTTTTGTGTTTGTCACGATAGGGAGTGACGATTGTTTTGGTTTATGATAGATGTGGATGCTTAAGTGTGTTAGTCCGTTCACCGCAATGAGAGCGCAGGCGACTACACTTTGAGTGCGTTAGTTTGTGTACCACATTAGATTTAGCGAGCGACTACACTCCGTGATGCATCATTGTTTCGGTGGTGTTTGGTGTGAAAGTTGATGTTTTCATTGAGATATTCATTACAACTTCAGTCGTTATAATAAAAATAAAAAGATAGTCTTTTATAAGACTCTTACACAATAAAAATGAAAAATTACAACTCTCGTCAAAACAAACATAACGGACGTTTATCACTCCCTGTTTGCATGGGATCTTTGTCTGTGCCGGGGACGTTAATATCCATGGACTACCAAGCGATCAGATCAATCCAAAATTTCATTGATTCACGAAGGAATTAAGAAACCAAAGTAATTATCTCGACAATAGCAAGATAACCACTCTTCTCGAGATCGCAGCTAGGTACGATCTCAAGGGAAGGAACCGAGAACTGTAGATCTGATAAACTCTTATTCTTTATGCCGAAGAACTCGATCTGATCTCCTTCTCCTCTCTGAAATTCATACTCCTCGGTCTCTGATTTAGCAGGGTTTTGCCAAGACTCGAGAATTCCAGATCTGTCTAAATGAAGGCCCTAGGGCTGTATTTATAGGCTTTAGGAGCTTTGTTTTCGGATAAGAACGACCGATTCACTCTTATCCTCAGTTATAACTACTTTACCATGTTCTAGGATAGCATTAGATCAGTTGGAACAAATTCAGGCGGTTAACGGGCGAAAACAGCTTCGAAACAGCTTTTTAGTCTGGCGGACACTCGAAGTGTCTTGGCCTTGGCCGAGACAGTCAGAGTGTCTCCGCTTGTTTTACCTCTAACTATCTCATATGACCTCTAAATAAAGTGATTCAAGATGCATTGGAAAGCTGATAAAAAGATCTACAACTTTTAAATTTTTTGTTTTTTCATATTCTAATCTAAGCATGGCAAAAATCTATATTCTTTTCGGAGACACAAACACTGTCTCGGAATTCCAAAGCAGTTTGTACTATCTTTGGTATTTTGGCTTTATCTCTCTCATCCGATCTCAGAATGAGTTAATCCAAGATGAGTTAGAAATATAACAAGGAAATATACAACTTTTATCTTTTGAGCTTCTTCAGATTCAAAGTAAGATAGTTTCTATCAAGACCGAGATAGTCCAACTATCTCGACCTTGGCCGAGACAGTGCAAGTGTCTCTCTGCTTTTTTGCCTTTAACTATCTCATACGACCTCAGAATGAGTTGATCCAAGATAATTTGGAAATATAACAAGGAGATATACAACTTTTATGTTTTGAACTTCTTTATATTCAAAGAGAGACAGTCTCTACCAGGGCCGAGACAGTCCAACTGTCTCGGCCCTGGCTGAGACAGCGCAAGTGTCTCTCTGCTGTTTTACCTCTAACTCTCTCATCCGACCTCGGAATGAAGTTATCCAGGGTGTGTTGGAAAGTTGGAGGAGAAATATATAACTTTAATATTTTGGGCTTCTTCAGATTCAAAGCGAGATAGTCTCTACTAGGGCCAAGAAAGTCCAACCCTGGCCGAGGTAGTCTCGGCCCTAGCTGAGACACTGGCGTTATTTTTATTCTAACTTTCTCGTACGATATCGGAATAAAGTGATCCAAGATGAGTTAGAAAGATCACAAAATGATATACAATTTTCATTAGTGAGACACCCATGGGATGAGTGATGCGGCATAAACATGTACCAAAAAGGTTGCAAGTGCACAACCGTGTCAAGTTATAGTATTTAAGATATCGATCCCACGAGGAAGGTGTTTTGTAGGAGAAAATATAAAATCGGTTCTTATGTTGTGTGCGTGACAAGTAGGAGTGATAAGTGAATGTGATTGTGAAGAGATTGAGAGAGTGAAAATGGTGTGTAAATAGGTGCAAAGTGTAAGTGAGAGTGGATTTGAAAAAGAATGATTATGATCAATAAGGTGAGAAGGAAAAAAAATGAATAAAATCAAGAAACAAATAAAAAAATCAAGAATGAAGAACAAATTTCTAGAATAAAAGAAAATACAAGAAATTAAAGATGGTGGATTCAATTATAGATATGGGTAATCTACAAGTGAACCCACTTCTTAGAAAAGGATGATTCCGTAGAGGGTTCTAGCCTAAAGGCGAATCAAACAAAATAAAAATAAACAAAAAGAAAAACTAAACCCAAGAGGGTTCTAGCCTCAAGGTGAATAGTGTAAGAAATTAAAATCTAACTACAAAATAAATTGCAAATTCTAAACTACAAAATAAAATTGCAAGAATTAAATGCAAGAAAATAAATCTACTCTATAAGCATGAAATAAATCTAAGGCAAGAGGGTTCTAGCCTCTTGGCTATTTAACAAGAAAATAAAATCTAAACTACAAGCATGGAAATAAATCTACATTAATAAGCAATAAAAGAGAAAAAAAAGAAATACAAACCTTCAAATAATTCTCCATCTTCATCTTCATCTTCATCTTCATCATCCAATAAAGAGAAGAAGAGAAAAATTTAAAGTGGTGAAAAAATTATTATTATTAATTGCAACAAAAAATTACAATTTTGGAAGGCCTTCTCAATTAAGAGTAGCTCTCCTCTCCAAAAAGGAGTTACAAAAATTTTCACACCCTTAACCCCTCACTCTCTACCCCTATTTATAGTAATTTTTAATGAATATGAGCCATTGGATTTGTCTTGAGCCCCAAGCAACAATCTTCACCTTTGATTTATTTAATTTTCAAAAGAAATTTAAAAATCCAATTTGATGTCCGGTCCATATGCCCAAGTCCAAGTTTGGTCCGTGTACACATGTGAAAGCCAAGTCCATATTTCATTTTGTCTGCACACCAATTCATTCCAAGCCCGGTCCACTTGATTTTCAAAATGAAAATTTAATTCCAATTCAAGCATTAAATTCACAAGCCTAGTTTGGTCTTCATGCAGCACCTCAAAATGCAGCAGCAAGCCGGCCCATTCAAGTATTATCAAAGCATTTGATTTTCAAAATCATCTCCATTTGGTTTCGGCCCATTCAAGTGCTTTTCTCCATTTAATTTTTGGCCCATAGCAATTCTTCTTCAGTCCGGTCTACTTCTTTGTTAGCTGCAGCATTATCCAGTTCCTATTTGATTTTCAAAATGGAGCTTCAATCAAGTCCGGCCCAGCACTTGTAAAATCAGCACCCAAGTCCAAGCATCAACAAATTCGGTCAAACTTCCATTGGTTTAATATTTTTTATGGGCTTTGGCCTTGAAAATTCACTTGTGAATAAAGATGAAACTGCCATGGACATGTTGGGTTGTTTGGGCTTTTGAGCTTTAAAATTCAAGTATTTTATTTCTCTTTATTTTTGATGAGGGTTTTGAGATTTATTCTTCATTAACCTGCAATTAAACATAAAAACAGTTATTAGTGGTATATTTATTCA